ATATAAAAATATCTTAACACAATTATATTACTTTCATCTTATGAAAGTGAAAAAATTTACTTAAAATATGTAGTTAATTAGATAAAAATTGATATCAATGATGGAGATATTGTTATTTCAAGTACATATATACCACCAATTATATAAACCACAATGAGCGTAATGAATTATATAAACGGAAGTAGATTCATCCTTTAATAGAATATGCTTATATATTTATACCACCAACTATATGTTCATGGATAGTCATATATAGTATATTTACATATAGTCATCTATTAAATATTATTGTTTTATTACACATTGATCATTACTTTGTAAGAATGCTTTAAAAAAAAAAATTAAATAAAATGTGTTTATATATTTTACTATTAATCTCTTATCATGGACACAATAAAAATATATATATACTACATCCGTCCACCGTCAATTTATCCATTTACTTTTTGCATGTTAATCTTTAAATATTAATTATTATATCAAAACGTAACACAAATTAAAGAAAAATGACAAAAATATTTCTATTGTTGTCTTATAATATTTATATAAAAAGTTATACATATATAATGATATTTTTAATGTTAAAAACAATGACGCCAAATACAAATGGATAGATTAGCTGTAGACAGAGGTAGTTTAATATAGCAATTTTGTATTAATAATTGATTGATCCAAAAAAATATTTGTATTTTTTGATATTCTCATTATAATAAATTATTTATATTATATGATTTTAATAATTTATATAAACACGGGTAAACATACTAGTTTCATATTGAAAGAACATCTGTTGTCAATGTTTTTACTATAAAAGAAATTGAAATTGTCTCATGGTTAACAAGTTTGGAATAATTGGGTTCAGCCTAATAGTTTAATTGTAATTAGTCAATTTTAAAGGCAAGTATTTTACATGTGTAGTTAATATGCAATTGTTCTACCTTGAAAAAAAATATCATTTGGTTGCCTCTAAGTTTTAATAAAAAGAAAAAAAAAATTATATATGGTTTGTTTGCTTTGTGAAAAAATATATATACATATTTTTTTAAAAAAATTAATATATTATACATTTATTATTTCTATATTATCTAGACAATTTTCTATAACTAACATAAAGAAATATATGTTAAAGCAAAACACAAAAATAGTATTCCTTCCGTTTCTATCCGACCTGCATCTTATATCACTTTCTTTTTTTAAAAATAATTACACACTTTAATTTTATTTTAAAATTTCTATTTTATAATTTTTTTATTTTTAATTAGACTAATTAGTTATTTTAATGTAATTATTTATATGATAAAGATAATTGTTTTCACTAATACATTCTTAATTATCTATTAATTATACTTATCCTAGATTTTGGTGTCTACGGTAACCCGGACATGCAATGTGGGACAACAGATGAAGTATTTACTTGTATAAAATTGTTCCAATTAAAAATATATATTATGGGTCGTTACCTTTTTATAAAAGAAAATACTTATAGTAAATTATGAAATAATAGTATTTTATTGCTTAGTGGAAATGTAAAAGAAATTTTGATATTTTTGTCTTTTGATTTGATGTGTAAATTAATTGTATATGTAATGGTATATTTGTAATTTAGGTAAAAATAAAATATATATTAGTATATGATTATTTTTACTAAAATAGGAAAATTATACTTTTAAATAGAAAAAACAAAAATGATATATATATATATATATATATATATATATATATATAGATTGAGCTAGGAAGGAAGAAATATTTTACATTAACTTGCTCAATCAATGATTTTAAAGGCAAAAAATACGTTAGCCTATCCCAAGTTGAAAAAGTAGGGTGGGTTGATTTTTGAAAAAAAAAAAAAAAAAAACTCACATATTTTTTCTAAATAATTACTAGATTACATATATTTAATATTTTTATATTATATACATAATTTTTTATATTTTACATTCTTTAAACTATTTTATAAAAAAAAATATACTTGTAGTATTTCAATTATTTTAAATACAAAATTTGTTGTTTGCATATGTAAAAAAAAAAAATAATCATATTTTACTTTTTATAAAAGCAATATATTTGCATATATATATATATATATATAATTGTCTGAAATTGGAAACATAATAAATGCATTTGCTTTTTTAAAATACTTGAAAAAATATGGGTTTGTTTTGTGAAATAGTTGGATATACAAAAAATTCATGTGAGTTATAGGAAATTATATAGAGAATATAAAAATGATAAATATGTGTAGTGTATTAATTTTTTTAGAAAAATGTGTGGAAAAAAATTAGAAAGAACACCCATGGTCACATTAATTGTCTTACGATATATTTTAAATAAATAGTACTTCATCCATCTCATATCTATTTATCAGTTTATTTTTTGTACTAAATTTTAATATTAGTATTATATTTGGTGGTAATATAAATAAACATAAAATAACTAAAATGTCCTCAATGTAAAAATTTACTATATTGGTATATTTATAATATAGTGTAAGTTTTGAAGGTAATTTTAATAATAGGTGGATATTAAGATTACTAAAAAAAAAGAAAATTGATATTTTGTTTGGGGACATATCAAAATAGAAAAATTAATATATAGTCAAATGACGGAAATAATATTAAATTTACTCTCTCCGTCTATTAAAATTACCCCATTTTGGTCCGGATGAAAAATTTAAAAAAATAAATATTTTATTGAAAAAGTGATAAAAGTAAAAAGGTGGTTGGAGGTATTTTTGAAAATTTAGTTAGAAATTAAAGTAAACGAAATAAGATAATGTAATAAAGGTAGTGATATTTATTATAAATAAGTATTGAATAAATGTAGTAATTAAATATTGATTTATTAACTTTATCGAAATTAGTAATAAAATAAATTTATGAACGAACTAAAAAAAAATGAGAATAAATTTGACAGATCGAAAAAATACATATTTAGAGGGCCGATTTAACTACATGGGGGCAAAGGGCCCCTCTCCCATTCCACCTCTTAATTTTTTATTATAATTTATATAATTTTAAAATTATTTATAGTAAAAACTATTAAAAGTTTGATAGATATTTTTCTTATCAGAAATTTTTATTTACTTTTTTATTATAAAAAAATATCTAAATTTTAGTAGATCAAAATTTTCCATATAATCTATATCATATTAAATTCTTTTAGTACGGTACAATATATTATTTGATATTTTCAGTATATATTAAAATAATTCCGGTATCTTAGTATTCGATAAATCGATATATGCAAATATTCAATATATTGATACAAAAATTATTATTTTAAATTTAGTATTTAGATATGAAATGGTATATATCTATACTATGTACCAAAATTTTGGTACCGTATTAATATATAGATTTATCATACATATTTTGTCGGTATATTAAATTTTTGAAAAGAAAAAATAATAATAATTCTTGGTTCATATTTATAGATCAATCATATATAATTTGTAAATTGTGGTAATAATATAAAATATTATAAATAATTTTATATAAGTTTACTATGTGTGCTATTTCGACTAGTATTTCATATATTTAGAGCATTTTTTAATTTATGATATTTTAAATAGAGTATTTTAGTAAATATAATTCTTATACAAATAGTTAAATACCTCTAATTTTTTTTTTAAATAATTCATTTTTAATGATTATAAAAACAAAAATATTAAAATTATTTTACTTAATCAATAAAATATCACTATTTCTTAATCTATATATTTATTTTATATAAAATATCACTATTTTTTAAATTTTTAATTTTTTTTAAATAATAGATAGGTACATTCTATCGGAGATGAAAGACAATATATTTTATATATATTAGAAAAAAAAATTATACTCTTTTTTTTTAATAAAATATATTATTTCTATCTGCTTCCATGGTGTATATTTTTTTTTATTTGTCTAAATTATAAAATCATTATTTAAAATAAATTCTATTTTCTTCACAAATTTTTTATTTTATTGAAAAATTATTTTTATACTATTTTTGACTGTCCATTATAATTAAAATATTATTATTTTTTAAATTTTATATTATAAAAAAATATATATTTTATAGCTAGACCGATGAAAAATCATTTTATTGTATTTTATTTTTTTATTAATTTAAAAAAATAATAATATTTTATTAGTCAATACTATTAGTTAATAAAACTATTTATTATATATAAATTCTACATAAATTTTATGGATAACTAAAATAAACGTTAGCATAATTAAAGCTTACTGAAATAATATATCATAAGAATTAAAATTATTTATTTATTTGTTTATAATATACTTTCTCTGAATACAAATTTTTATAAAAAAAATGATAAAATAAAATATATAATAAAAAATAAAAATTGATATTTTTCATCATTAAAAAGGAAATAATAATATTTGTAAATTATAAAATAATAAAATAATAAAAAAAGGAAGAAATTAAACGTAACTTTGAATAATAAAGGGAGTATTGAATGGGTTACTTAGGGTGTGTTTGTTTAGGGGTTTGGATTTTGAGGTGGAATTTGAATAATAAAATTTTGAATTTGAATAGTTGTATGATGTTTTGAATGTAAAATTAATTTTTAATATAATATAAAAAATAAAAAATAAGTGTTTAATTTAATTTTTTAGAAAAAAAAAATTAGATAAATAGTAAAATTTTGCACAAATCTTACAAACGAAAGCACGCTTAGTTGACCCTTGGATTTAATTTATCCGCGGGGAATCAAATTGGGCATTCAGGTCAAAAGAAACTGCCCCGTCACCATCAGTCCACCCGCACGTAAGCCGTAGGACAAACTTTCCAAATTTCAACTGTTTTTTAATCGTTCATTCTTATAACGACACGTGTCCACTCAGCTGACCAATAACACGATTCTAACCCGTTATAGCCAATAACGCGCTCCCCGGCGCGTGGCTGGAACTCAGATTTCCTCGCAGGTCCAAGTGCACGTCTTAAACGAGAACTCAAGAGCCCCTCCCTCCATTCCCATTCCCATTCCCAACGATCACACATTGCCATCGCCGGCATTTTGCAGTGTTCAAAATTTTGACATTCATCAATCGTCGTATAATTCGCATAAACACGCAATATATATATATTTTCTCGGCGGAATTAGGGTTTTCCCGCATTTTGGTCGTGTTCGATCGGAGGAGTTTTGGGTGAGAATGGCCGCATGGAAGCGATTTAGAGGCGGCGGCGACGGGGCGCCATTGGTAGAGCGCATTTCGTCGTCTCGAACGGTTCGTCTCGGAAATGTTCAGCCGCAGGCGCCAGGTCATAGGACGGTGTTTTGCAATGATCGTGAGGCCAATGCCATCGCGAAATTCAAGGTTTCTCCGTCATACTTCGATCATTACCTGCGTTTTTTTTTTTTTTTTGCGATGATTTGTTTGTTTAGGTACATTTTGATTTGCTTTCACTGTATTGTGTTGTAGATATATATATATATATCTTTGATTAGCTTTGTTGTGTCTTCAATCTGTCCTGTGGCATTCTGGTATCCTTCTATATATTTATGTCGAGGAGTAGATATCTAAATTGGTGGTTTTATTTGACAATTTCTCTACATTATGGAGGTTTCAAACCAATTTTTAGGTTGTCATCAATCGTTACGCAACCATTCTTACTACTTACGTAGATTTAAACTTTGGGGTCTGGATAGATTAAGCTGTGAATCATCATCCTTCTTCAATATTTGCCCACATATAGCATGGAAGTTGGTAAACTCGTTATTGGGGATACTCTAATTGGGTGGTATTTTTTAATATACCTTCTCGATGTACTGTCTGACTATAGGTCCTCTTTATTCGTTTTTTATTGCTAATAGTTTTAATTTCGGAAAAAACAGAGAAATGTTAAAAGAACATCAATGAAAGAATGTGTAGTAGAAAAACTCTGCTATTGCATTGAATATGTCACTGCAAAAACACTTTTACTAATTTATGTAGCGTTTGCAGCTCATATTTATAATGAATATATAGAAGTGATCTGAACATGAAATGGGCTCTCATTAGTCAGAGTTTATGTGCATGGTATCTTATCTTGCGATTGAGAGTATGACTTATGAATGTAGTGATCGGCTTATATGCACTGGTTATGTGGAATTGTCTAAAAAATAAATAAATAAATAAAAGAAAAAGAAAATAAAAGCAAAGAAAAGGGATACCCTGGAATTTGATTTCAAGCATCTTATTTTGTCCAAGTATTTTGTGATAGAGGCGTATTATCTTTCTTCCTGGACAATCAACTGAGATGATTATATATATCTTCCCTACCTTTAACACTTTGAACAAATTGTGAAACCCTCTAATATTTTCCATCTTCGATGCCTGAACAATATGGAATCTCTTGTAAATAAGATAAAGAACTTATCTAGCTGGTGGTGTAATTAGCATTATATACCTTTCAGGGCAATTCTGTGTCCACGACAAAGTATGACGTCTTTACGTTTCTACCCAAGGGGCTATTTGAACAGGTAATTCTTTTGTTGTTGTATTTGTACGATTAAAATTTTTGTTATAAGTTGCTACAAATTCTTTTGATATTATATTATTGCTCGATGAAAACTGTGTTGGAATCTATGTCGAGATTAAACTAATGGCTGGGTTGCAATAAGTATAGAATCCATCAAAATGTTCAAACACAATTTATGTGAAAGTTGGGATCTCTAACTTTCTCTGTCCCCAACTGGAGAAGTTTCTCTGTGTCTTGGGACAGGGTTGTTTAACCATAGATGGTGCAAATGATTGAAAACATTCTCAAGAACCTAGACGGAGTGAGTTTTCATTTAAGTAATAGAGGAATTAGTGGAGGAACTCAAAGAAGATGACCTTAGAGCACGATGGGAGGAATCTTGGAGGAGCTGCTTAAAGAGATCAATATTAAAGGGTTTAGAATTGGCCTCGGAACTGCATGGAGAAGAAATGGCCAATGGGGAAGCTCCGACTAGCATGCGAGGGATCAATGGTCATGCTAAGAACATTTAAAACATTTTAGTGTAACCATTTTAATTTGGGCCTCTGAGTGTGAGTTTACTCTCATTGGAACAAATAATTACCTTACCCTACAAAGAATAATAACTTCTACAACCCAATCAATACCTCGAATTCCATTTACTTGAAAGTATCAAACATGTATTTGGATTTCCTTTCTCTTCAGTAGCCTTTCTTTTTAGCAGCCCTTTTATTCTTGCTTTTGTCTATTATTTTAGCAGCTGAATAGTTATATCAATTAGTGTAATGGAGAAGTTTTTATCTCAAGTCACAAGCATTATTAATGAACAGAGTGTGATATTAACCATTCCTTGGAGTAGTGTGACTGCAATTTTGTCTCAGAATTTTGTATGAGAATGCATTTCTTTGACTTAGTAAGCTGTTCGACAAGGTCCTTCCTTGATTACATCTTGTAGATGACAGTAGTAGGAAATCTAATTTATGTACTTCTGGCTTTGTGTTCTGCTCTTTCAGTTTGTTTGCTTTCTTGTCTCTATGTGGTTTTGCCTGATTTACTCCCGTTTAATTTACATTGACAGTTCAGGCGGGTGGCTAACCTATATTTTCTCATGATCTCGATCTTGTCTTGCACCCCTGTAAGGTATGTTACTATAATACCATTGATCTGCTGAGGCTTGAACCACTATGGCTGTTTATATTAATTCATAAATTGTTTGGTAGAACAAGGTTGCTAAAATGGGGCTATAGGGAATCCTGAATTATTTGCTCTGAATCAAGCAGCAACATGAATAAATTGACCTATAGAACTTTAATCCTACCAGGGAAATAGCCATTAAGATTATGTCTTTAGGGAAATTTATCTGTCTTGAACATTCAGTCGAAACAACTTCAAATTCCATGTATTCTGTTTCTGTAGTGACTGTCTAGTCATAAAGTTTGAAATTTAGGAGAAAATTGACCTCAAACTAAACAGAAAAGTTGTTCTGTATTAGTTTCTTTAAGGATGCTTGGGGGCGACTGAAAATGAATTTTTCTTTGTATGTATGTATGTATGTATGCGCTTATTCTGTGTGTTCTATCTAGTTGACTACGCACGCTTAATCTTTTCGGCTTTCAGAGCATCAGTTTCTTGTTTATTGACTTATTTAAGATCAATCATATATGAACTCTACATTGAAGAAATGTGGGAGTTTAGTAGCTATTTTCTTGCTTTCCTCTTCGATGCTAAATGCCTTGGATTTGATTAAATTCATATTTCATGCAGCCCTGTAAGTCCAATTACAAATGTGCTTCCATTGACATTGGTGCTTCTTGTATCTCTCATAAAAGAAGCATGGGAGGACTGGGTGAGTATTAGCTTATTTCCTGTACAAATGAAACATGCAAACTTAAACATTCTCACCCTTTTTTTCTTTGTATTATTTTATACATGGAAGAAACGTCGTCAAAATGATACATCAATCAATAATTCCATTGTAGAAGTGTTGCAAGATCAGACGTGGGTATATTGTCCTTGGAAGAAACTGCAGGTTGGAGATATAGTCAAAGTAAGTTGGCAAGTTTTATTTTTCTTTTGCCAGATATGCTTCATTCTCTTGTTTAGCGTAGATCAAAAGTCTTGTGATGCATGACATATGTCTATACTGGCTATCTTAGCGAAAGTTGTCAACTATCTCCTAGTTATTATATTATTGGCATGTCTGAAATTACTGGATGTAGTGATTGTAGGTCTATAAAATAATGTACAAAAGTGAGGCAAATGACAATGAACCGGGTAGCTTGAGAGCCAAGCTTGACCTGGCTCTTCAAAAGCTGACACAACTTGTTTATAAAGATTTGTTTATAACAGATAGACGGTTCGAGCTCGAGAATTATTAATTTGTAAATGAGCCGAAGTTTGATTGAGATGGTGTCTTTGTATCATTTTATGTATTGATATAATATATGTTAATCTATGTATCAAAACTTGCAATTATTAGTGAACTTTGAATATTTTACTATAGTAAATTGTGAATATAACTAGATTTATTTAATTTATGTACTAAAAATATATAATATACATTTAAAATTCGATCCGAACTCAAACTTGAGTTCGAGCTTTGAGATCTGAGCTTAAACTTGAAGTCGAGCCTAGCAAGCCAAACTTCAGCCACCATTTTAGCTCGAACCCTATACAAGTTGAACCGAGCCTATACCGATAACATGTTCGAGTCGAGTTTAAACAATCTGTACTTAAGTCGTTTAACGGCTCTAGTCACCCTAGAAGAACCACACACTTATGTTAAATTAGCACTGATCTATAGCAGTTATAAATTACTAGAACAAACAGTTGGGGGCCTTGGGGGTGGAGAGGGATAAGGCAATTTCAAAATATTATGTGCTCAGTCTCTTCTTGCACAAAACCAACCTAGTATCTAGTACATTAAATTTAGAACCTCATATTGTTGTAGTCTGTTGGTGCTAGTTATTACTCCCTTTGTCCATGATGCTTATGCCGCATTGTGTAGGTACAGAGACTAAGAAATAATGACATTTTAATATAAAAGTGAGGTAGATAAAGTAAAGTGGGGTATTATAAGAAAGTTGATTGAAATATTGATAAAATGGTAATGTGAGAAGTAGAAAAAATAGTGACAAATTGGTTATTATTTGTTAAAGTAAAAGTAATAAAGTTGTAGGTGAATAAAGTTGTTTACTATAAATGAATTATGCATATGTTTAGTGGACAACCAAAAAAAGAAACCTAACATAATTATAGCGGACGGAGGGAGTATGAATTAAACTAATGAACATGCATTGGATGCTTTATCAGTCTAGATTGAGTATATGTTTATGATGACTAAGCAGAATTTTGATTGTAAGGATGTAGGTAACCTAACAAAGCCATAATGCTCATGAAACTACTTATGAACCTTTTTATGTGATTTATGCATATGACTACCTTTTCTTGTTTTTTAATATTAAGCCTGAAGTTCTGATAGGTGACTATTTGTTTGGTCTCAGGTGAGGCAGGATGGTTTTTTTCCAGCTGATTTGCTATTCCTTGGCAGCACGAACCTTGACGGTGTCTGCTACATTGAGGTTTTCTCCTATGTCCTACTGCAATATATCCCTTATTATGTACTAGAAAAGAGGTCCATAACCTTTGATACCAATGGATCCAGTGATCTTTTCCCTTATTTAATTATTATTATAAATTTTAAATTCCATTTCTCTTGTTTAATGTATGTTAAGAGATCAAATCTGAATCCTTTTTAGGTTGAGTCCTCCATATCATCGAAATGGCGCCTTTTTCTTTTTTCTTTTTTTCCCTTTTTATCTTTTTTTTTTTTTTTTTTTGTAGACAGCAAATCTTGATGGTGAAACCAACTTGAAGATACGGAAAGCATTAGAAAAGACATGGGAATATATCACCCCCGAGAAACTATATGAATTTAAAGGTTTTGTTTTTTCTTGGCTTGCATTTTATCAATTGTCTAGAGTTTACAATTCATCTACCCCTGCCGAAGTGGCAGCCAGACCAAAGCCTATGGGGGCTAGAATTTAATAATGCTAGCATGGAGGATATCAATGTGTTCTAAAAGAGTAGCATGTGGTGTTACATTAGCCTGCTGAATTGATGATTATCAACTGAAGTTAACAGTTTTTTATAGTAATTTTCTTCATGAAGAAAACCAAAAATTATCATTTACTGCATATCAATCATATTCTTAAAACTTCACAATTAATGTAGGTGAGGTACAGTGTGAGCAACCCAATAATTCACTGTACACCTTCACTGGCAACTTGATTATTAACCAACAAACTTTGCCTCTCAGTCCAAATCAACTTCTCTTGCGGGTATGCTATTAAATCTTCTCTTATGATGGCTGGTGTTATTGTTCGTTATATTATATTAGGTTATGCTCATATTACTTGTTAGATTAACATAGATAAAAATTATGCAATTGTTTTCTATGAATTAAGGTTTTCTTTACATTCTAACAGATGGTTTCTGTAGTTCTCTAAGTTTTTGGTATTACCTTATAATGACTATTATTGAATGTCTTCAGGGATGTAGTCTTAGAAATACCGAGTACATGGTTGGTGCTGTCATTTTTACTGGTCATGAGACAAAGGTATGTCTGATTACTGTGTCTTAATTTCCTTATTTCTCTGAATACTGACATTTCCTGAGAAAGTTGCTCAAACCTCTGTGGGGTCACCTTTTCACCAAGCCATTTTGAAATTTAACAAAGAGTTGTATGTTAGCTAATAGTTTCTCCATATTCCAATTGGCACAATTTCTTGATGTGTTTCTTGCATGTTTATCCTCACACTTCCCTTCATCACAGGGCACATGTAGAGTATTTTACTGGTCCTTGTGGTTTACTTTCAGGTTATGATGAACTCTATGAAAATTCCTTCCAAAAGAAGCACGTTGGAAAAGAAACTTGATAAGCTTATACTAGCGCTATTCACTGTTCTTTTTTCAATGTGTCTTCTGGGTGCCATTGGCAGGTTGGCCTGTCTAATACAATATCACTAGTTTGGAAATAAATAACCTTTATACAGTTATAAAATGATGTCTCTTATAATGATATTTGCAGTGGTGTATTTATAGACCGCAAGTACTACTATTTACGCTTTGACAATTCAGAGAAACAGTCTGATCCTGACAACAGAATCGTGGTGAATAAAGAGATCAGGTTTTTCAAGTTTATGTCCATTGTTTCTGTTGTCAACTTTTAACTTTTCCACTTTTCTTTATCATGGTTGCTAGGTTGCTGTCTTGACTTTGTTTACTCTTCTAACTCTTTACTCGCCAATCATTCCCATCTCTCTCTATGTATCTGTTGAGGTAGATTTTCTCATGGTTGGCTTATTTATGTTACTTATTTTAATTTAACTTTTATAGGCAGTGTAGATCAACAGTTTTTTTCTTTCTGTTTGATTTCAGATGGTTAAATTTATTCAATCCTCTCAATTCATCAACAATGATTTACATATGTACCATGCTGAGAGCAATACCCCAGCATCAGCACGTACTTCTAACTTAAATGAAGAACTAGGTCAGGTAGATATTTTAACTGTTGAACTTTTTCCAATGAGTTCGGAATTGCGTAGGTACATGTGCTTTTGTCTCTTGTCTTTGTTTGTTTCCAAATACTTTACAAGATTGTAGTTAAATGCTTCAATGGACTGTTAGATATATTGTTTGTTATTTCTGGCCTGTTGATAACCTTGTAAGATTTGAATTTCTTGACTGTATATTTTCCCTTGATAGGTGGAATATATTTTCTCTGACAAAACCGGGACTTTGACAAGAAATTTGATGGAATTTTTTAAATGTTCGATTGGTGGAGAAGTCTATGGTTCTGGTGTCAGTGAAATAGAGAAGGAGATTGGAAATGCTCAAAAGGCTGAAGCAAAAGTTGAGGTATTTTTTATTTTATTTATTTTTCATTTGGGATTTATGAAGGTACATGCGGTGTGAATATTTCTTAAGTTGGATGCTTTCCATTTTCAGGCTAAGAAGCAGTCCAATGTACAACTTGAAAAGGGATTCAATTTTAAGGATCCACGACTTATGAAAGGTGCTTGGAGAAATGAACCTAATCCTGATGCTTGCAAAGTAAGGTTATATAATTGTTGAAAACTCAAAGAACTGCACCAAAAAGTAATTTTTAATATTTTTGTTCCTGCATTATCATCTAGTTTTCATCACATGCTTTTATTTTTTCTGCAATGATTGATTTTGTGACCGATCATTTAGCTGCTGCCTTAGCTTGATGAATAATAAAAACTTTGTAAAGTTCACAAAATAACAATCACTTTATTGATTTCCTTGTTTCAGGCATTAGAGGATTCATTTGTCTTGGTTGTTGATCAAACTTTAGATGGTTTAGATTACTTCATTAGATTCATAGTTGTCACTAGTGCGGCATTTACGCAATTATGCTGTTGCTCTGTTTAGCCTTAGTGCGTTGTGGAGTGGCGGAAACTCTCTATTTGTTTTTAAATGTGAGACTATGTATTTACATTAGTGATAATCAATCCACTTATCAGTTAGATTTTTATAAAAAAAAACTTTTGTGGCCATTTGGTTTGAATTGTATAATATAATGTATCAGTTATACAAGAACCTTCTATATATGCTAAGAAGCAAACATTGCTTGAGAAAGAAAGTTATAGCTACTTCTAGCTTTAGAAAAGGAAAAGACATTGTGCGAAGTGATAAAAATACAATTGAAGAAATACATGAAAATGAAAAAGAACTACATCATCTAGGATAATTGTTTGGGTAGTAGTGAAGAGGGTGAAAATGAAGAAGTAGATTATTTATTAGGGTATGAATTTGAATAACATTGACTATCTATTTATCAAATTAGCAGTGATCTAATATATTTTCTTATGTAACTGCCTTTCTTGTATAACTGTCTATGAATATTCAATTATTGATCATATATTTTTTTATATTTATTTATTTTAATGATAATTATTAAATTAATTTATAGATTTTTTGTGTTGCAACGAGCCTATTTTTGTGTTGTTTAATAATCTATGATATCCCTGCATATCATATTGAATTTGTTCAATGCTATGGAAAATCATCTTTCTTATAGGCGTCCTCTCACTATATTACAATGTGGTATAGTAAATGTGTTTGTTATAAGTAAAACCCATATATTTCACCATCGGGTATTGAATGTCATCATTGATTTCGTGGCAGATGAGAATTTTATAACGTACAGTATATTTTGTTTTGTATAGGAATTTTTCAGGTGCCTAGCAATATGTCACACTGTTCTTCCTGAAGGCGATGAATCCCCTGAAAAGATACGATATCAAGCAGCATCTCCCGATGAAGCTGCTTTGGTTTCTGCAGCAAAGAATTTTGGCTTCTTTTTCTACAGGTTTATAATTTTTATAGTTACTTTTTCAGTCCCTTGAATATATTATGCTTAAAGCTTGACTTGTAGTGTCTTAACTGCAGACGGACACCAACAACAATTTATGTTCGTGAGTCACATGTTGAGAAGTTGGGAAGTATTCAGGATGTTCAATATGAAATTTTAAACGTCCTTGAATTTAACAGGCAAACTAACTTTTTTGATTTCTTTCTGATTTAATGTTTTCTCAAATTAAAAATTTTCAACAACTAAAATTTCAGAGTTATTGTTTTGTTGTAGCACGAGGAAGCGCCAGTCTGTAGTCTGCCGCTATCCTGATGGCAGACTTGTACTCTATTCCAAGGTCCCTTTGGTGCATAATGTCTGTTGTATATATGGTATTGTGCAATGAGCAAATTTATAGCTTTTCATAATGGTTTCTACAGGGTGCCGATACAGTGATCTACGAAAGATTGGTGGATACGAACAATGATTTAAAAAATGTAACCCGTGAACACCTCGAGCAATTTGGAGCTACTGGATTGCGTACTCTGTGTCTAGCTTATAGGAATTTGAGCCCTGAAGAATATGATAGTTGGAATGAGAAATTCGTTCAGGCAAAATCTGCACTACGAGACAGAGAGAAGAAATTGGATGAGGTGTGTTGAAAATTTTCCCATCTACATGCTTTTACCCACTGCAATTTTCTTTAAGCCCGAGCCCTTTCTTAATATGTTTCGAAGTTATGTCCAACACCATTCAGTATCATTGTAGTCCAATATTGCTATGTATATTGGAAGAACATTTTGTTAACTAATCAAGTAAAACTGTTTCAGATTGCTGAACATATTGAAAAGGATCTCATTTTGATTGGATGCACTGCTATTGAAGACAAGCTTCAGGAAGGAGTACCGGCAACCATAGAGACCCTTCTCCGAGCAGGAATTAAACTTTGGGTGTTGACCGGAGACAAGATGGAAACGGCGATAAATATTGCTTATGGTAGTTTAGAGGATTTATTATCCTTGCACACCTTGTAACTAGTGCTACAATCTCATCCCTTTTCTCTGGTTTTCGACTTGTGCAGCTTGCAAGTTGATAAATAACAGCATGAAGCAATTTATAATTAGCTCAGAGACAGATTCGATTAGAGAAGTTGAAGAAAAGGCAAGCAGTGTTGCATACAAAGTCTTATCCGACTAACTTCCAGAGTTGAGTTTGCATTCCCTCTGATTTCTGTATCTCATCTTAACATGCTATGTCCTATACTTCAGGGCGATCAAGTCGAGCTTGCACGCCATATGAAAGAGACCGTGAAAAATGAGCTGAAAAGGTGTAGTGAGGAGGCGCATAAACATCTAAACTCAACAGGCCGACAAAAATTGGCCCTTGTTATTGATGGAAAGTGTTTGATGTACGCACTGGATCCTACTCTCCGAGTAATTCTCCTAAATTTAAGCTTGAATTGCAGTTCAGTAGTTTGCTGCCGAGTTTCTCCCCTACAGAAAGCACAGGTAAGTGTTAAATAAACATATCATTTCGTTATTTTCTATTCAACAGCCACCTTAGATTAGTACTATGTTGTCACAGCTTGGCTTATTACCTGTTCATTCTCTTACTTCAATATTTTCCATGCACAATTCCTTTGTCTGCTTCTTTCAGGTCACAAGCCTTGTTAGGAAAGGTGCAAACAGGATTACCCTCAGCATCGGTGACGGCGCTAATGATGTTAGCATGATTCAGGCAGCTCATGTTGGTGTTGGAATAAGTGGGCAGGAAGGCATGCAAGCAGTAATGGCGAGTGATTTCGCCATTGCACAGTTCCGTTTCCTCACAGACTTACTACTCGTACACGGCCGTTGGTCGTATCATAGAATCTGCAAGGTTTGTTCTTCTTTAGTTATATGCATTGAAGCTTCATTTCTGCTCCCACAAGTATAAACTGCTCTGTAATTTTATGCAGGTCATCACATACTTCTTTTACAAGAACTTGACATTCTCCCTCACCCAGTTTTGGTTCACATTCCAAACTGGATATTCCGGCCAAAGATTCTACGACGATTGGTATCAGTCTCTCTATAATGTTTTCTTTTCCGCATTGCCTGTCATCATTCTTGGACTTTTCGACAAGGTATTGAACACGATCAGTTTACTCATCTTATCATCACAATTTGTCACCAGAATTTGCCTAGATATTCTAACCTTTTCGCGTTCCTCTTGCATTTCGCGCAGGATGTTAATGCTACTCTTTCGAAGAAGTATCCCGAGCTGTACAGGGAAGGAATAAGGAACATGTTCTTCAAATGGAGAGTCGTCGCAACATGGGCTCTCTTCTCAATCGCCCAATCGCTCATTTTATATTACTTTGTTGTTGCTTCGAGTACTAAAGCCATTAATTCAGCTGGCAAGATCTTTGGCCTGTGGGACGTCAGCACGATGGCCTTCACATGCCTCGTCGTCACCGTCAACCTGCGCCTCCTAATGGCTTGCAACACAATCACCAAATGGCACCATATAAGCGTCGGAGGAACAATCCTATCATGGTTCATATTCGTCTTCATCTACTCGGGATTCCTTCTACCCAAAGAACAGGCAAGAATTCATCCTCTGTTCACATAATAGTTAACATTCCCAAATGACCTTACATTGCATTGCATTTTCTCTGCAGGAGAACGTCTACTTCGTCATGTTCGACCTGATGAGCACCGTCTATTTCTACTTAACTTTTCTTCTCGTCCCCATTGCTGCTCTCTTTCCAGAATTCGTCTACATGGGGTAAGCATTTTACTTTACTCGTGCCAACTCATCCTTCTTAATTACACGTTGCCAATATTCATTGTATTCACAAAAACTCATCCTTTTCACAGAGTTCAGCGCTGGTTTGCGCCGTATGACTATCAGATCGTCCAGGAAATTCACAGGCACGAGCCGGATAGCACCAGGATCGGGCTGCTTGAAGTCGGGAACAATGAACTAACACCAGGTGAGGCTCGGAGCTATGCTGTAATGCAACTTCCCGGGGAGAAGTCGAAGCACACGGGGTTCGCGTTTGACTCCCCGGGGTACGAATCATTCTTCGCGTCGCAGGCGGGCGTCTACGTGCCGCAGAAAGCATGGGATGTTGCAAAAAGAGCTAGCTCTAAGAACAAATCCAAGACACAAGGAAAGAAAGAAGCCAATTGAATTGAAGTAACATCAAAATACTAACTTGTTTGTTTGTACATCTTTTTGCCCTCTCCCTAAATTACTTCCTTCCCTCAGTATTCTATGTAGAAACCTTCTATCTTTTTTATTATTATTATTATTGTTATGTACATACTGCTTCAGTGACATACAAAGTTTTTTTTTATGAGTTTAAATTGTAATAAATATTCAATTTTTCATAAAAATGTCTTTTTTTTCTTAAAAAATATTATACTCCCTCCGTCCCGCAACAAAGGTGGCATTTATTTTTCACGTAGATTTTTAAATATTAGTATTATATTGGATTATAGTAAAAAAAGACAAAAAATACTCCAAATTGAAAGGGTATTTATTATGTGAAATAGGTAGTACAATTACTAAATTAACCTTATTTACGGATAAAATGGAAAATGAAAACCTTGGGACAGAGGGTGTATTAAAATACTGTTTTAATATAATTTTAAATTAATATTTAATTTCAAATGAATTTCAAACTAAAAATAAATAGCAGCTACTGCTTATAGCCATGGGTCTCTAGTTAATTTTTTGTTTCGGGGATGAATTGAGGCTCCCATTTCTTTTGCTTAAGCTTCGAATTTCATGTTCCTCTCGTTCCGCTCTAAGTCTCATTTACTTTTTTGCGTTATTTTATTTTATATTAAAAATACTTTTATATTTATATAATTTTTTTGTACAAATATTATAATAATAGTATTATAAAACACAAATATAAATGTTTTTGTCATTTTTCTTTATATATGTTATTTAATCATTTTAAGAAAAACAGAATAAAAATAAAAATGACATCCAACATAAATTTTAAATTTTTTTTATTTATTATACTTTATGTACCTTAATAAATTATTATTATTTTTATTTTAGTCCGCTCATAATATAGTATTCATTTTTTTTTTTTTTTAACTGTACTATCTATCAAATATTACAAATATTTTACAACTTACAGTACAAATAAGATTACTTTAATCATTTTTATTTTATTTATACTATGCATAAATATAATATTAATATACCTTAAATTACGTGTAAAAAATAAATAAATACTTATTTAAGGGACGAAGTATTTATAATTTTTATAAAAATGTTGCTTTTTATTCAAATTTAATTGTTTTTTTTTCCTTTTAAAAAGTACTATTAAATTAAAATACTTATTTCTTTATTATATTAAAATTAAATTTATATTTAAAGATATAATTAATATTTATTTATATCAATTATTTAAATTTAAATTTTTATTATTGAAAATCAAATCTAAATTAAAAAAAAAAAAAAAACCATTATATTTGTGCCACTAAATTCGATATAAAAAATAAATCTTTTAAATTTAAATATATATTAATATTTTACTGTTTACAAGTTTATTTTGTATTTTATTTTATTTGTTTTGCTTTTAGTTTTAATTGTACTATTTTTTGCAAAATACGAAATGTGTTTGTCTATTGGCATGGGAGTTAGATTTTAGATTTTGAATATGAAAATATTGAATTAAAGTAATTATTTGATATAATATAAATAAATATTAATATACTATTTTAAATATAAATTATTTTTAATATAATATGATAAAAAATAAATATTTAGTTAGATATTGTTTAAAAAATAATAAATAAAATTCTAATTGAAAATAACAAACAAACAAATATATTAATGATGCATATGCACGCTAACACTTGAGTACGAGATTTTCATTTGCGAATATATATATATATATATATATATAATATGTTGTTTTTATTTAGTTTTTTAAAAAATAAATAAATAGCCAAAAATAGAAAAAATATATCTAAGTGATGGATCTTAAAATTCGGATGTTCTAAAATAGTTCGTCAATTCGTCGGTGTGGGTTTTGGAAGTACTCCAAAGAGTTTGTCCGTCGTCGGATTTGGGGCGGCTCTTTCGGTGGAGCCTACACGGCTTCGATCTTAAACGAGGCTTCAAGCCTAAACGACCGATTTCGATGAATTTAAATTAACATTTACTAAAGATCGGATAAATCTATTGAAAAGTGGATAAAAATATGCTAGAAACGTAAATACAAGTAATTCGAATTAAAATGCATAAATGGAAACTAAAAACTACGAAAAGAAAAATAGAGAAATATGCGAGTTCATCTTCTTGTGCGTGTGTGATGTATTTTTTCCTAGTTTTAATCCTAAAATAGAATAACCGCATCTTCCCACTAAAAGGGCAGTTTCAATTATTCCCTCATCACTCCCAACCGTCTGGTAACTTTCTTCCATCATCTCCCAACCACCCGGTAACTTCCTTCCGTCAACCACCTAGTAACCTCCTCCCATCGACCACTTGGTAACCTCCTTCCATCAACCACGTGACAACCTTCTTCCATCAACCACCTAGTAATCTTCTTTTATCAGCTCTCAACCGCTTTCATTGCCTCTGGACCGGGTTCCACTTGCTCCAAACTTCTTCCACTGCCTCTAGACCAGATATGTCGCTTACTCCGACTTGTTTCCATCGTACTCCTAGCCGGTCCAAAGGGATGTGTCGCTAACAGGTTCGAGTTACATGGAATCTTCAGTTTTCCTCTTGTTGGCTTGTTCCATGGAGCTTTTTGAATAAAGTATGAAAGTGCATAAGCCCTCCACTAATGTTCAGTACAAAATTATTAACTCAATGCCAATGGAGGTAGTTATCCCATGATCTGTGGAAGTTGTTGCTTTCTATCTTGTGGAGGCAACCTTCCTCTATTTTGTAGAAGCACCGCAATCCAATAGAAGTAGTTTTTCCAACCCAATGGAGACAGCAATTTCTGACCTTATGGAAACATTGTTCTGGGATGGAAGCGCCATAGTCCGAGGGGTTGCTGCCCTAAGGTCCATGAAGGCGGCTATTTTTGACCCTGTGGAAGCACCACAATCCAATGGAAGCTGTTGTCTTCGGCTCTGTGGAGGCAGCAGTCTTTGGCTCCAAGACATGAAGTTCCATTGCTGTTCGGCGGCTCCGTGGCCAAGGAACTTTGGCTCTACTTTTGTCTTTGAGCCTCCTTCACGCTCAGGTGTTTTTGGACCCATGTCCAACAATGCCCTTCTCAATAGGGTTGGGCGATCGCTTCCATTGAGCCCATGTCCTTTTGTTTTGAGCCGTCCGCTTGAATCAACTATGGTCATTTCTGTCAACAAGGAATCCTCCTCAGCCTTCACTTCTTGGACTTCATTTCCATTCCAAAACATCAACGTTTGATAGAGTGTCGAAGGCATACACTCGCATACATGAATCCAATTCCGTCCCAAGAGAGCCAAATAGAATGGCCTACTATCGATCACCATAAAAGTTGATGATATTTCCTTTGTCCCCACATGCACACTCAAAGTGATCATACCTGCTGGTTTGTAAGAATTCCCCATAAAATCGGTAAGCCGTACAAATGTATAAATCAAATCATCACTAGTCTTTCTGAACTTTTGTAGGGTCTCATTGGCAACACATTCACAGAAGCTCCACTATCCACCAGAACTTGGTCAAGAGGATAGCCATTCATCAAGACTAGAATGTCCAAAGGCTTGACATGTTAGTTTTGACCAGGCCCGAGCCTCTTAAATTCTATCATGGTTGCCACATCATTCCATTCGAAGATAGGCTCCTCATCAACGAAAACTTCCTCTAACTCTTGAAATTCTTCCGGAGCTTTGAATTCTTCCGGAAGCTCATCCACTTGCTTCCTTTTTGGAAAAGACTTCACAGCCTGGTTCTTTAGCGGCTTCGCAGCCTGCTTTCTCTCTAGAAGTGGCTCCACAACCTGCTTCCTTTCTGAGAGCAGCTCCACAGCTTGCTTCTTTAGCGGTTCCACAGTTTCTTTTCTTTCTTGAAGCGGAACCTACTTCCTTAGCAATTCCACAGCCTACTTTCTTTCTGAAATCGGCTCCACAACCTGCTTTATTTCTGAAGGGGGCTCCACAGCCTTTTTTCTCTCTGAAAGCGGCTCCACAACCTGTTTTCTTTATGAAAGCGGCTCCACAACTTGCTTCCTTGGCGGCTCCATGGCCTGCTTTATTTCGGGAAGCGGTTCCACAACCTACTTCCTTTCTTGAAGCGGGTCCATAGCCTGCTTCCTTGGCGGCTCCATGGTCTGCTTCCTTGGTGGCTCTGCAGCCTGATTTCTTTCTGGAAGTGGCTCCATAGCCTGCTTTTTTTCTTGAAGTGGCTCCACAACCTGCTTCTTTTTTGGAGCTTCCATGGCTTCTGGAACCTCTGCCTCCGCAGACTCCTTTTCGACTTGAGCTTCCACAGCTTCTGAAGTCTCTGCCTCCACAACTCTGGAGCTTCCACGGCTTCTGAAACCTCTGCCTCCGCAGACTCCTTTTCAATTGGAGCCTCCACAGCCTCTGGGGTCTCTACCATTACAAGCTCTGGAGCTTCCATGACTTCTGGACCTTTGCATCCGCGGACCCTTTTTTAAAACTGGAGCCTCCACAGCCTCTGGAATCTCTACCTCCACAAACTTTGGAGCTTCTATGGCTTCTGGAACCTCTGCCTCCGCAGACTCCTTTGCAACTGGAACCTCCACAGCTTTTGGAGTCTCTGCATCCACAAGCTCTGGAGCTTCGATGGCTTCTAGAACCTCTACCTCCGCAGACTCCTTTTCAATTGGAGCCTCCACAATATCTGGAGTCTCTACCCCTGTAGCTTTTTTTTTCGTATGGAGGTGAATTTTTCGCGCTCAAAGTGGCATTAGGCTTCTTTTCAAACCTTCTTTTTGAAAATGCCTTTCTTATGAAATCTGTGATGACATCAACATCCATTATAGGCTTGACCTCCTGTTGATTTGGTGTCAGCGGCTGCACTCTGGCTGCCTGTTGATGGAAGGTTGGCGGCTGCATCTCTTCGGCCTAACCTCCTTGCTCCTGTGTTTCGATGATCCTCTTCCATTGGAGATTAGCCATGTTCGGACCGTGACATCCCCATGGTGGTGTTGGCGCATTCTACATAGGTTGTCCGCCTAATTGATCTGGCGGGATCATGCCAAATACAGAAAATTTGCTTGCCCCTCGTGGAGGCTCAGCACTGCTATTCAAAACTCTAACGACCAAGGGGTTCCAGCTCTCCGCAGCCTGTTGACTCCAGCGCTCCGCAGGCTGTTGGCTCCAGCCATCCGCAGGTTATTGG